ATAAATAGCTCAGTTTATGGCTTTGGATACAACTCACCTTTCGTCTGCCATAGTAAAAATATCTGACCTTGCCCTTAAATGCTTTAGTCTCCTCAATTCTGTCTTTTTAACCGACTTCCAAAAAAGGAGGAGGTTATCAGTTCGTCGGAATATTTTTTTTTTTTTTTTTTTAATGTATGTTACCGCATAACTTTGGACCACGTCAACCGATTTCGATAATTCTTTTTGCATCAGAAAGGTAGTGTCTCAGAGGTGGTCCCATACTACTGGTTGCGATCCGATCCGTGGATCATGAGATATATATATATATATATATATATATATATTTTTTATATGGGAGTTGAAGTCGGTTTTTTTTTGCTAAAAATTACTTGTTTCATAAATATGAAGTTCATTAAAAAAGCAGTTGGCGCTGCGCAGCAGAAACCTTATTTTACATCGCTGTAGTAGCATACAGAATAAAGAACAGCAAAGAAACGTGTGTTTCGCTTCATGCAAATCCAACAAGCAGATCAGCATTCAGTCAATTGAGTTATGGTCTGATTGTGGCAACTTAGGTCGGTGTTATGCAGAAATTTTGTTTGGCAAACTGCGTGCAATTGTTGTTGCAGCAAACTCTGAGAGAGTGAGTTTGGCGACTCTCACAGCAAACTAATTTTGTTTGGTCAAACTGCAGCGAATTCGGCGTTGTCATATACAAAAATTTTAGACAAATGTTGCTATGTACGAAATTCTCATTTCGTGTTGGCAATAGCCATGAAAACCATAATGAACGTGCAACCCTGTGCCAAACTCGACATAGCCACCTCCGAGCAAAGTAAGCAGCCGCCATTTAATTTGGCAAACAAAAATTTGTCTGCATAATACCGACCTTAACGTAACTTACGGCTCTCTCTTAAAAATTCTGTTAAATGGGTGTTGCTTCCCAGCGGCGCAAATGCACATTACGATCGATACTCAAATGCTTTCGTCGGAGCTAAGCACCGAGATTTACTGAATTATATGTCCTCAAATTTCAGTGCCCTCAGAAGATCATAAGAAGGACTATGAAACTGGACAATAGGAACCTCTACTCAACTTCGACGAGAACGTATGGGTCTTTACCACACTTTACCGCATTCTTTTTTTATACTTTTAAGTTATTTATTTAATTTAAATTGAGAAAGCATCAACATTTTGGAAACTGAAAATTCTACACAATTCGCAATTATTCGTAAATGAGAGCCAATCTGAAAAAAAAACGGAGGGCATATACGAACTCGGCGATCTAAATATGCCATGGAAATATGAATGCCCTTTCTCAATTTTTCTGAAGTAGGTTTTTTGTGGACCTATGGTATTCGATGGATAAATATGTCACGAAAATTAACTTGATAAATGTAATTAGCCTTTTTACACATAAATGCCTAATTACGATTAAGTACATGTAGATACATGTTTGGGCCGGAAATGCCTCCTAAATGTATGCTTTAATAATGACTAGTGTTCGCTTCTGTTGAAATTCAACCACTAAAATTAAGAGGAGGTGAAGTGGGTTGAGCTGAGACGAGTTGATTTTAGTTGAAATCAATTGAGCTGAAATGCGTTGAACAACATATAAGAATATAACATAACATAACATAACACAACGCTTTTGCTGCAGGTTATATTTTTTGTCTTTTTTCTACCTAGATCCCTAACCATTTTGGGCAACAAAATCGATAGTAACATCGATAAAAATATCGATAACATATCTATAAAAATATCGATAACAAACTCGATGAAGAATATCGATAGAAAAATTTAAAACAATATCGATAAAAGTCTCTTCCTTTGTGCTTAATACCCTAGTTAGTTAGTAACTGCCTATCTTACACCATCGATAGTCGACTACTGGCTAACAATCAACATGCCTAAATGAGGGGCAAGTCCACGGAAACAGCGCTTCATTTTTATTGAAATATCCTTCAGTTACAAGGACTATTGTCTTGTAGCCTTTCTAGACATTGAGGGAGCTTTGAACAATATAAGTTCAGAGGCCATAATACAGGCTTTGAGGGGACTGGAGGTAGACAATTCTCTGGTGGAGCTTATAAGGCAAATGTTCTGATAACGGCAAACGTCGGCGAGAACTCGGCTTCAAGATATGTGACAAGGGGCACACCACAGGGTGGCGTGCTTTCGCCACTCCTTTGGAACTTAACCGTGAACTTTCTCTTGCGAGAGACGCAATGGGGGCCGCCAAGGTTGTTGCTTATACGGATTACGTTGACATCGCGTATAGGGCAAATTTGTATGAATATTTTCCTACAACAGGGGAATTTGAACCCCCAAACCCTCCTTGCGGCTGGGCCTGGTACAAGGGTATTATAACTTTGTTCATGTAACGCTTGTTTGTAACAACCAAAACGAATCGAGATAGATATAGAGAAATGTATACATAAAATATCAGAATGAAAAGAGAAGTCGATTAAGCCATGTCTGTATGTACACGATAACTCGACCAAAAGTCGAGATATCTCAACGAAATTTGGTATGTAGATTGCCATTTTACCCAAGGTAGGTTGGTATTGAAAATGGGCGGAACCGGACTGTAACCACGCCCACTTCCCATATAACGATAGTTTTCGGAAATACGAAAACTGCGATATTTTAGTAACCACTGAAGCTTTTTCACTGAAAATTGTTATTCACAATGATTTTTGGACGTAAAATAAGAACATTATAAATTGTTATGACTACATGTGTATATCTTGGTAACCGCTACACAAATTTCTCCCAAACTTGGCACAGTGGTTAGCCTTGGTACAACATACCAAACGGCTGAAAATTTTTAAAATCGGACAATAACCATACCCACATCCCATGTAACGGTAGTTTAGAGAAATACGAAATCTTCGATATATCAGTACATACTTACGCTAATTTTTTTTAAAATTGATGTTTGCAATAATTCTTTAGCAAAAAACACGTTTATGATAAAATTGGAAGATATGCTTGGCACCGCCCACTTATGACCAGGTATGTATATCTCGGTAACCGTTCGATCTATTTGTACCAAACCAATCATAAAAGCAAAACCTTAACAATTATTGAAATGGGATTAAGTTACACCCTTTTCATATAACTGTAAATTTCAGAAATGCTTGAAACTTCGATATTTCGAGATTAAAGGACGCCAATTCACTCAAAATTGATAGGAACTGCAAGCCCTTGAAAAGAAATAATATTATTATGTAATTTTGGATAATGGGCGTGATACCGCCCACACATAAGAATATAAGTTGATCTCATTGTGTCTAACTGAACGTTCTAT